TAAAGTAACACATTATTATTATTATTATTAAATTTATTAAAACACATACATTTAAGATGTCATTTGCCTACTTGTTCATTTTATTCGACATCATTTCAATAAAAAGTAATATCACGATAAGCAAATATTCTGAATATATTCATATATGAAAGAGTAAATCTTTTACGTGGTTTAAGCTAAGTGTGTGTGTATGAGTATGTATATATATATACAGTACATATTACTCTGTGGTGTAATAAGTAGTCTATGGTTCAGGGTATACACTCTTATATTATTATATATTGCGTACGTTACTTTGAACAAAATATTAAAAACTGAATATTTTTTGCGTTTGATTTTGTCTTTGCTCGAAAATTTTGTTGTTTCTACATTATTTATATAATTGTGTGGTATATAACTGTAAAATATCATCATCATCTCAGCCCGGAAGACGTCCACTGCTGAACAAAAGCTTCCCCCAAAGATCTCCACGACGATCAGCCCTGCGGTGCTCGCATCCACTGTAAAATACATATAAATGAAATTCTAGTTTACAATTGCCTTAAAAATATAATTAATTTCGACAGATTATCCTTTTATATTTGTGCAATACAATGTACTTTGTTTTCATTGAAAAAGTTTTCGATATTAACAAGCAAATTACTGGAAGCAATTCCATTGGAATGTTAAGCGAATTAATTAGCAATTAAAATAATGATAACGATTGAGTTAATCGTTGGAAATTTAATTTGAACGCGCCCAATTATTTTCATGCAAAGTCTTGGTGTTCTAATTGTTATACATGCGTACATAGTATTTCTGATCATAGAGTTTTATATAGTAACATATTTATTCCTAAATAATGTTTATTTAACTAATATTAAATTTAAAAATATTACAAATAATATTGTCTGTACTTACAATCGCAACTAGCAATTTTCAGTTGTTTCAACCGTAAATTCCAGGTCATTGAATTCGAATACTTGGTCCCCGTAGGAATTCGGAGAAACTTCTTATCAAGGCTCTTTTGCGTTATCCGCCTTTACCATATATTCATACTTCTTGATCACATATCAAGAATAATAATAATAATAATCTTTATCATAACGATGATGAATAATGAACTAACCATTATTATTAAAATAATGGCCTTATTTGGGGGAAGCGATTACCAGTAATGTGGATTACTAGGCCAATTGCTGGTAATATGTATTTTAGAAATAAGCGTAAGCGTAGTGGTTTTTGTATTGATTGCCACATGCATTCTTATGTAAAATGTGAATACTATAACTATCAGATGGTGATTGTAAATAGCTTTGACGTGGTCTGGTGTTTTGAGTAGTCATGCTCACTAAAATGTCCAGACTTGTGGCGGCGTGGTGGGCCGGGTCATTGGGCTCCCTAAAATATGGTCGAACACAGTGATGGCTGGCTCATCCGTCATACTTGTGGACGGGTGCTGCTTGTAGGGACTGGTCTGCTCTAATCACTATGACTGATTTCCTCTTATTAATTGTTTAACCAGTTGGTTATATATACAATATTTTTTCTATTTGAGTATTTAATTGAATTTGTGCTAATTGCTGGTTTGTATTTACACACTTAAACTTAAAAATGTAAAGTTATTTAAAAGAACAACACGCATGTTTCTTGCTCGTTGTTCTTGTGATGAGACAGCTTTCCGAATGAGCGGTAGATTAAAAAATGTAATGACTATTCAAAAGTGATTCAATGTAAGTTTATTTGAATAAATGATTTTCTATTCTATTCTGTACCATGTCATTGTGAGCTCCACGTGGTTTTCCCTGGAAACCATCGTGAGCAATTCGTGGTGAATTTACCACGATGGGCTAACTGACCTGACCTCATGCTTATCTTATCCTCTGCCAGTGTAAACCGTTATAAGAAAAAAAAATTGACCTTATTTAAATTTAGTACATATAAAGTGACCTTTATCGAATAATATGCACAGGAAATGGTCACAATGTCAGATAATAGGACCTCTGGATATATACCAAGATGGACATATAGTACAAAATGTTTTTTTTTCAAGCAACAAAAACACGGGAATCGGCGAAATAATACATAAATATTTCGAATAAATAGAGATTGTTTAAAACGATGTTATAAAAATCGCTTTATCATACTGAAATGAAGTCAAGCAGTCTTTCATTAAAAAAAGAACTGAATTTATTATAGTCCATTTATCTAGATAAAGTCAACTTGATTGAAGTTTATAAAATGTAAAGGAGACGTCTATAAAATCGTTGCAAAGTTATCTTGTTTTTTTTTGGATGAGCAGCGTTATTATTACAACCACCAAAGTCGGAATATTATGGATCCCAAAACTTTCAACCGGTATTTGTAGAAATAAATAAAATTTAAATATCTATTTGTAATTTTAATTAACAGTTTTTCGCTGAATGCTTATACGATACTTATATAAAAAATCGTTTAAGTTATTGTTCGTGTGTTTGTTTGTTTTTTGTTAATCTCTGAAACGACAGGACCTATTTTACTATATTTATATTACTATAACTCGCAGATACCTAATGTAATAAGGAGTAACTTAGGCTACTTTTATTATTTAGATTTTATTAATTTATAACTAGAATAACCAGTACCAGCATGAATAATGTAGGACGATCCCTCATGAGTGACGAAAATCAAAATAGTAGAGTAGATAGACAATAGTGACTCAGTATTGACGTAATTTTGGGGACACTTATGTTCACTTGAAAACGATCACGATACAGACGTTTTTGTATGTTGTGTTTTTCAAATGTTTTTTTCATTCAATGCTTAAAAATTGTATAGTAACTGCATATTATCTTAGGAGGGCAATGGTGTCTGAGATGGGCTTGGCCTAGTTTAGACACTGCACTGCATTTGGTGTTAAATAGTTTTTAAGAACTACTTGCATAGTATATACTGGGAATATAAACATTATTAAGCCTATTTTTTTACTGTTTTTTTGCACAATAAACATATTATTTTTATCCTTTATTTTCACAGCGAAACTAGTGTTTTTTTTTTATTAGTCCATATTTTTGTTATACTTAGAAACAAAAGAGTTTACAATATAATCAACTAGCCGTGGGACTTTAACTGTCTTTTTTGTATAAAAGATAACCTATGTCCTTCCTTGTAATACGATCTATCTTCACGTCAAACAACAAGACTTATGCAACCATATATACATCATAAGGTAACAAATAGACAGAGGGACATAACTTTATATTCGTTATATATTATACTCGTCCGTCATACTGTGGTGTGGTGAAATTAGCAAGTGCTAATTTCGTAAAATCTATTCTTTATGGAAAAATGTGTGTGTGTTTGGCATGATGCCTTCGGCTACTTTTCACCATTGCACCGCTCGCTATCGACAAGAAATTTATCCTCACATGCTAGAACCTAAGTGATCTCTGACAGTGCGGTTTCAGAGGAGCTTCCTTCCTTCCACATTTAGATTATGAACTTCCTATCGAGGTTTTCCCACGAGACTACAGCGTGGGTTCTTTCAAGACGGCTATATTAAGGTTTCCTAAGAGTCGGAAGCGTGCATGTGACACCCCTGATATCTCAGGTGCCCATAGGCTACTGTAACCATTTACCATCAGGTGGGCCATATGCCTATTTTGTCATCATCGTAATATATAAAAAAAAGATTATAGAACAAGAAAACAATTCCAATTTCAAGTTTCTGTCTTTATTTGTGGTGTGCTTTGATAGATCAGTTACCCAGGACAAGTCTCTTTAAATAGATATACTCGTTTATGTCTATCTTGACGCACTTCATCGGTTTCCGGTCTTGAGGATTAGATGCCTTCCGTATCGGAGATTGCATTGGATATTTTGCTATTTGCTATTTAGAATAGTGTAGAATTGAACAAAATATTCTTTATTCAAATAAACTTAAATTTAAATAGTTTTGTCCTAATACAACTAGTAAGAACATAATACTTATTTATTGACACATTATTTTATCTTTCTTTTTCTTTTTTATTTATTAATGTAATTACTAATTAAATAAATAAAATAAAACCTATAATTTTTATACGGCATGTGTTACGGCATATTTCAGTGTATACATGCTGATTACTAAATAGTAAAAGTGATGTACAAAAGTTTAACTCTGTAAAAGATTTCTTCCAAATCCAATGAGTTGAGAAAATGTCAACGGTAAATACTCTATTACAATTTTTATTTTCGAGACATAGCTACGAGGAATATATGTATATCCTCTAGAAAATCCTCTATCCTCTCCTAAATTGTGATAGGTACAACTGTAAGTATATAGTAAGAAACTCAATTGCCATCACAAAGCTGACTAAAACGACTTTGTCCTTAAGTACACAAGTCCTTGATTAAGGAAAACGCTTTAGAAAAATCTTGCTGATCTTTGTAGGTGCAAAGATCAGCGGGATTTTTCTCCGAATGGTGTATAAGAAACGGGTGTGTAAGATTTTTGTGTAAGAGCCGTCTCTTACACAAAAATCTTCGAACAACCAAACTTCATTCTTCGCTCTATTCTCTAATGCCTATGTCATATTATCCATATAATTTATTATCATATATATCAGCTATTATTTCAAAGAAATTACATCGGAACAAGTGCTAAGGCATATTAGCCCATGGATTTATAAATATAGTAAAAGAAAATTATAGAAAACAATATAGCCTACAATTTTATGGTCTATATTATTCTGTAATATATAAATAATATGTATTAAAAAGTATTTGGTAGGAGCACAGAAAAGAGCATATTACAATGAGGAGTACAATACACAATATCAGGTTAATTGTCAACAACTGTTTGATTATTAATACAATTGTATGTTTAATGTTTTATTTTCCCAAGTATTAATTAAATGTGTTTTAAAGTTATTAAAAACGCTTAACCTATAGGTAAAATATTTTACATAGGGTTAAAAAACATGAATATAAAATGTTTCTTAAATCTAAGAACTATTATAAAAATATTTTTATTCAAAATTATTATTTAGAAAACAACTCACCATAACCATCCAGGATTCGTCTTAAACTGAACGTTTAAAAATATAAAAAGTTCTATTTTTGAAATTATAACAACACATTATGCACTTTATGACTTAAATAAAAATGGAATGTCAGTTTAAATTTTGAAATTTCGAATCTCGAGCGCGCCGCGATCCGCCTGTGTTGGAAGAGGCGTTCATGCGAGTGATCTCTTCGACTGTGAGATGAATACTGGCATTGCCGCAGGAGCCTGCGTCACAGGCTCACAGCCACCGGACCTCGAACCTTTTTGAGGGACCCTAATTAATAACAAGCATGACACGAACACGCTACACATCAATTCAGTGACGAGCGTTTCATATCTTGAAGTTTGGAAACTTTTTATTTTAATTTTTCATGTTTTGAGAGCATCTTGAGTTCCGCTTAAAGTCACCCTCTATCCCATCATTTACACATTGCGTCGTGGTGCGGTATTAACGACAAATTACTGTGTAATTAACGATTCTATTGACGTCTTTAGGTATGTAGGAGTCTTTAAACAGAGTCTGTTTTGTTTATGTTTTCTTCTATACTATGAGTCGGATTTTGTATGATGTAGATGTTATTTACGGAAAGTTAAAATTTGTTTACTCATGTAGACATACATAGAATAAAACATTTAAATGAACAGCAATATAATATAAAGCTGTTAATAGTGAAATTGTCTAATTTCGTCTGAGTGACAAAATATAGCTCAGCATTAAGATCATACAGACATACTTTCGCATTTATAATATAATAATATAATTCATACATTTTTATACTTATCATAAAGTTTTACATCCTATACAGGAAATTAGTTAGTAAAGAATATCATATTGCAGTTACGTCAATTTTTTCAGTACAATATATATATAAAATTATCGTGTCACAGTATTAGTTGTCCATACTATATGATTGGCCTATTTTGTGAGCCTGAGACAATAGGTTATTATTTCTTTTTAATACCTCTATGTGATATTGTAATAAATATAATATAATAAAAATTAAATTGTACATATTTAATTTTTTTAAGTGACATTTAAAATGCGCGCATTCTTAAAATTTCAGCCCTTTACCATCGCACCTTATTTTTATAGCGATATTGGTACTTCAATTTATATGGCAAAACAATGTTTGCCGTATCAACTAGTATTATAAATCTTTTTCAGAAGAGACATGCATAACATTGCAAGCGGTCAGAACTATTTTTCTAGTGTTAGATACGGTAACCTATAAATTTACTCAAATAAATGGCTCAAACGACGACAGAAATTTTAACACGGTGCCTCTGTTTTAAACGCTTTGACTTTACTTTAGAAAAAATTGTGTGATTTGAACAAAACTTGCAATGTTCTGGTCATATACTAGACACATTCAAATATTAAATATTTGAATTTGTTAATATTTGGCCTCGATGGTATAGGGTTTAGACTGACACCTTCATACAATAAACACCACCACGGGCATCACGTTATCATGTTGATATCTGTGATACCACTTATGGGTTGTCATTCTAGAGGACTAATATGTCACTCTTTTAAACCTGTTATTTTACTACCTAATTTTACCTTATAATCGAAATACAGCTTACAAAGCAAGATGCTTCTCTGCTGATATAGGAGAGACACCACGAAGCCGACTTTTTACTATATCTATACAATATATGAATAAAAATTTTTTTTTTAACTGCCCAAGGTGTTAAGTATATATAAACAAATAAAACTATATAGTCTATTGAAGATAATATACTAAGATATCCCTTATTTATTCATGCAATATTGACACAAATAAACAAGTTAGATAGTAGTAAAAATACGTACTAAACTAAAAGAACTTTGCTAACTTTCCGCTCCAGATAACTTACGTCGTCTTTAAGCTGACCCATCCGAAATACAATGATTTATGTAAAGTGTCCACTAGCAGAACAAGCTCTCTTATGTATTACAGCCAAATACTATTAAGTATTCTGTGGGAAAACTTTGGTATGTACACTTAGACTAAACAACAAGGCTTAATAACTTATTGGTAATTCAGAGTGAATTGCTTATCACACGGCCTGTCTCTCTAACCGCAAACGTACATCAAGGATCCCACGATGGGTTGACAATGTAGATAGGCATCGCTAAGGGGGATTGTCTACACCGCTAGAGCTATCTGTCGAGCACTCCTTGTAAGTGAGGATTAGCGGATCTAGTATATGAGAGAGAGTAGAGAATGTAGTAGTAGGTCTCAAATATAATGCCTTTAAAATGAGTTTAGACTACATTCTAAATTAATTAGTGTATACTAGTATACTAAGAAAAATAGCTATGAATAGAAATGTATTAAGGAAGGATCGAACCGGCGATCCGTCATGTTCGTTAGATCAAGGTTAATAGTTGTTAGTGGCTATCATGCTATAATTTTCATTTAAAAAAATCATACTCATGTATCTTTACTTTATATTGAATTTCTTATACAGCATACATATATATTAGGATAGTTACATATTGGGTAGATACATAATTAATATACTATTAAGTATTGTTTTTTAAATTAAAAACACCCAACAAATTTACAAAACAACTCTTCCAAATTTACACAAGGTTTGTAAGATTTACACGGGTCCTGGCAAAACTCACTTCGTTTATTATATTTACTTTATTGGACGAAAAGCAGTAAACATTATTTCAAGCGAGTGTACTTCTTTCTTAGTAATAAGATTCCAAAGTGATTATGAACTCAATTATAATGGACATCAGTAGCTACGTCAACAAGTAACGTCTGTAGTTTGCAAAGTAAATCCAATTCGATAACTCTAAAGTTTGTGGCAACATCCATCTGACGGGGACACCCGGCCGTCTGTATGTTACAAACTTTATGCTAAATAGTGGCTCGTTGGTGGGAGATGGCTGTCGTTATAGTTGATAACAATGATTATATCACGTGCCTTACCTATAAGTTGTAATAGTTCTATTACATTGGCAGAACATCAAGGAACATAACATAAACGTTAATACTACTAAGTTAAAAATATAGGTTTAAGATATTGAACGTACATTTTAAATGACAATTACTCACATTTTTTACAATTACACACAAGTTGTTCGTTCGTTTCTGTGAGTCTGCGTTCCAAATAAGTAGTAGGATAAAAAAAATATGATTATTCAAAAGTGCTTTTGTGTTATTAAGTCTATTTGAATGAGGATTAATTCTATTCCAATTATGCTTCCCGTTTTTTTGCCTCTAGCCGATACGAGCTCACTAAGGAGTTACATACTCTATCTAATACTTAATCTAGGCCTGAGACTATGAAGAACTATAACTGTTTATATTTGTTAATTTATAAAATTATGTTCAATTATAGTCCCGTGAGCACAATAATGTAATCCATACTATTATTATAAAATAATCGAAAGTGTGTCTGTCTGTTTATTACCTTTAAATGACCAAACAGCTGAATAAATTAAGACATTTGAAAAATTATGTATTTTATCTTAAAAAAGCAGACGATATCATTGATAACAACTGGTATACCTATGAAATTTCGACAGTATCATATACACAAAAAATATCGCCAACTCGATGAAAAATACAGAGTCACAGATTACGATTTTAGACTCCAATATAGTCGATTGAAACGTGCCTGCCATTCGCGGCACTTGTTACAAATATAGATCGGAGATTCTCGCACTAACAACAAAGTCAAATGCGAGAAATCGGTTGACATCCCTACAAAGTCCAAATGGCGAACTTCCCAAGTTATCGAACGTTTGCAATTGCGAATGAAAACAAGGAAAAACGTAAACACGAATTTTCCGATTGCAATATTGTGGGGAAAGTGTGAATTTATTACTATTGTTGCTTTTAGAAATTATTACGTAATGCTTCTATATGATTTGTGTTGTTTTTGTTTGCTTAAATACAATTCAAAGATATATATTATAAATGCGTAAATACCTGTCTATTTATTTACTTTTGAACCAATTCGGATTAAGTATATTGGATGGATCTTGGCGACAAACATGGCGAAAATATACATTGAAGGAAAAAATTCTATGAAAGATTATAATTTATTAAAGTTATTTTATAAACAAAATCATCCTAATCGGGAATAGATAAATAGAATATACTGTATTTGTAATATACAGTGAAAAACATAAACAATATTAATATTATATATATAATAACAATATTATAATCAATATTATAGAATACATGTATGATTCTCGAAATAGTAATACTGCTAATATGCAGATGAACTCGTGAGAATTAGCTACTAATACTAATATTTAAAATGTGTATATCTATAGTGTTTTGTTTTTATGAATAACAATGAAAAAAATCTAAAAATATGTACATCTTAACTACTAGATGTGTTTTAGGAGTTATCTAAAATCTAAAAATTTTAATTTACTAGACTCAATCATATTTACAATCCCAAGACTGACTAGAACTGAATTATTTCCTTAAAACAATTATAGGTAATGACTACAATTTAATCTTATTATACTTGTTGAAGTATAGACAATAAAACGCAAACGAGTTAATATTTAATGTAATAAATTCTTTAAAATTATAGCAGTAGCCATCCATTATTGTGTAAATTAAAGCAGTATGGTAATGCCATTAGTTTTAGAAGCGACGTTCAGAAGAATTTCTGAGTGCCTTCAATTAGAGACCCCATTTAATTCTTATTAACGTCGTGCCACCTGTGCCACACAGCCACAACTCCGTCGAACAATGCGTGAGACAGGTTATAAATTGAACATTAAATATCAAAGTTTTAACAACGTTCATATTAGTCGCTAATTTTCAAACATAAAGTTCTTTCACTAATTCTGAATGATCACATGAAGAAATAAATAAGAAAGAAAAGATCAAGTTATATACACTACAACAATTACAGATTCTACAATAAACAGTATTGTAAACTTTTCATACAAACTTTCAACTTTTAATTGTACAACTTGTAGTGTATATAACTAGATCTTTACTTTCTTATTTACTTCATTACTCCTTCTTCTTTAAATGCCATCTCCTATCGGAGGTTGGCGATCATTACTGCGATCTTTACTTTGTCCACGGCGGTCCTGAAAAGGGACCTGGTGCTCAACCCAAACCATTGCCTTAGGTTTTTTAACCAGGAACACGGCGTCTGCCTGGTCTTCGGCAACCCTGGATTTGTCCTTGTCATTATTAATTGC